CTTTGAGAAAAGCTGCCGTCTGTCTGTCTGTCTTCCTTTCTAGAAGCTGGAGTCTAGCTAAGATGCTCTGTATGGGTATGGAGGCAGATGGCTAACTGGGTTTATCTCACTCTGTCTCTGCCTTCACCCATCTTGGCCTCTCACTGTCTCTATCGTTCTGTGTCTCTCTACTGCTACCGCCCAAAGAAGATTTAGAGGCTGGCTCCAGCAGCTGAGAAGGGTGGTATTAATTCCAAGCTTGTTTCCAAACACCACAGAGGCCTGCCCAGGTTAATTAGTTGTGCAGGCTTTTCTTCGAGTGAGCAAGCCGGCAGAGTTTTTTATAGCTCTGTCACTGTGGTTATTTGTTCATCTTCTGTTTTATTTGGAAAAGCGTTCATCTGACAATAAATAACATCCGCCATGACTAAGGACGATAAATGCAGTGAGCAACTCCTCCAGGGGTTGGAGGGGTCACAATCAGAAGACTGCAAGGCCCAGTCCCCCTACCTGGAGGTGTTTCCAGGCCCTTGGAGAGGCAGGGAGGATATGGGTAAGGCCAGTGAGAGAAGGCTAGAGGAAGAGGCAGAACCAAGGGGCGTGGACAGGGCTACAGGTGAAGAAGAAACACCACCGGTGAGCAGAGCCCTCAGCAAGGGAGCAGGGGCCTGAAGGTCTCAGGTAAAAGACAGTGAGGATGGGCATGCCTCATGGCAGAGTGGAGGAAAGCGATTTGGTTCCAGGCCCCAGTTCCGGCACCTGCGACCTGTGTGAACTCAGGCAAGTGTCTAATCTCCATGGTTCAGTTTCCTCACCCTTAAAATGAGAAGGATAATAATAAACTTTCTACTCAGAGTGGTTACAAATACCTAGGAGACAGTGGAAGTAAATGTGCTCCACAAACAAAGGGGATTCTTTTTTTTAGATGAAAAGAATTGCTCAGGTAGACAGCCTTGGAGTGTGTGTTCAGCACCCTAGGCCTCCCTGGGAAAAAATTAATCTGAAAATGTTGGAGAAGGGATTTCATGAGGAAGTTTCAGCCTTCTGTCCAAAGGATCTGTGCTGATGACTTCAACATAACCACAGAGTTTGGCCCATTTACAAGTTGACTGAAATCTTACCGTGCCTAGTTCAGCTCTTGCACAAGCCCCAACTGGGCAAATTCTGTTAATCCAAACAAAATTACCACGGGAAATACTTCACACTGATCTACAAGTACTTACATAGGATTTTAGGGGTGATACAGGGGGAAGGGGACAGAAGAACCACAGTATAAAACCAATTAGGCAGAACAGAATATTAATAGAGGGTATTAGCTTGGGATTTAAGTAAACTATTTATATCACTGTAAGCCTATAAACCTTAGGCAAGCTATTTAACATTTTTACCTCCTTTTAGTTCTCTCATCTATAAAATGGGCATAATAATAGCATCTAGCTCCTTGGATTGTGGTGTGAAGACTGAATGAGATGAAGTAGGTGACATGCTTAGGATAGTAGATGGCACATGGCAAGGGTTCAATAAACACTAACTACTCTTATAACACATAAAATTAGGCAAGACACAGATAACTGATCTATTCACTCAAACGTGTATGAGCTTATTTTTACCAGTTGAGAACCTGGGTACACAATACAAAATTTGTCTGATGAGGTTTAATCAAGGAATGCTTCCAAGAAGAGTAATTTCAACACAGTTAAAAGGAGAAGAGACAGGATATTCTTGTGTACTGCTGGGCAGATCCTCATGTATTTTCCCATTAATGCTTGAACCCTAGCCAAGGTTATGAGAGCCGAGTCACCCACAGACAGCTACCAGCAAGCCGCCAGCAGATGGAGCCAGCCACCTCCACATGGAGCTGATGGAGGCACGGTGTGCGTGCTAAGTCCCTTCAGTCATGTCCGACTCTTTGCAACCCCATGGACTGTAGCCCGCCAGACTTCTCTATCAATGGAATTCCCCAGGCAAGAATACTGGAGTGGGTTGCCATTTTCTTCTCCAGATGGAGGCACCAGAAGCCCTCAAATCAACCAGCACCCAGCTCACCTCCAGTCAGGATAGAAAAAGACCAAGAGACAAGGAGAGAGGGCCCGTGGGGACAGGTTAGGCCTTCCCCTCCCCTGTGGAGAGGAGATGGCTTTCCTGCCCCCACTGCAAATGTAAAGAGGATGCACAGAGCCCACCGTGCCTCACAGGCTCAGAGCGTTGCCAGAGTCCTTTGATTCCAGGAGCCAAGCACTGCAGCCTAATGCTCTGTTTTTTTCCACCCCTCCACTGTAAGAAAAAGAGCAGAGCTCTTGACATTCACACCCTGAGGTCTAGGATTATACTTGAAGGTAAAGACTGGTACCTGTAGATTATGAAAGCAGGAGGCCCACTGCAGTAGCCTACCCAGCAGACTCGGTACAGCATGAAGGATTCTTTACCATTGCGCCACCCGGGAATCTCAACCTCTGTCCCCATAAGTCATATCAAAAGGCCTCTTCCTCCCCATCCCTCCTCCCAGCCTCAAACAGAGTTGCTGAGGCCTTGAAAAGGGCAAGAATGAGTGCCATCAAGCCAGTCCCCACTTTCCCTCCTCTGACCAAACAATCAGGGCCCACCCAGCTCTAACTGACGCTAAAGGGGAGGAGAAAGAAGAATCAAGTTTTGAATCAAGGTTGCCATGAAAGTTTTAAATATTTAAAAGACTGAATCTTAATTACCAGAATGAGACTGTTAGTAACCGAAAGTGGCTGGAAAGTTATGGAACCAGACCAAGACATCATTAAAGGAGCTGCTCCCCAGCAGGAAAGAGAGATCTGGCAGGGTAAAGCCAGGGGCAGTTACTGGAAGAAATAAAATTGCTTTGTGTTTATACTCCAACAAGTTGAGACTCCCCAGTAAATCAGGCCCAATTACCTGCACAGAGGAAGTAAACGGACATGGGAGATCTGTGTCCCTGTGGTCAGGACACCCTGAGGAAGGATACTGACTCCCACAGAACACATCCTGCTCTTTCCCATGCAGGTGCTGTCCCACCTCCCAGGGCAGAGACCGTAAGTGAAGAAGGGGAAATCTGTCCTCAGGCTTTTAATGAGGCTCTTAGACAGAGGAACATGATGGTTTCTTCTTAGAGGAACCATCAATGGAATGTGCTCACGGGCAGCTGAAAAAGATGGTGCAATTTGCTTATTTCCAGGAAGCATTACCTCTACCTCACACTAGCATCCTCCAGTGGTCCCCGCCTGGGACAGCCAACAGCCACAGAGGTCTTTCACTTTCCAGGATGAGAAAGACAGGAGAGGAACAAGTCAAGGGACACAGCCAGCCCTGGGACACAGAGACAACACCCCCAGAGGGGCAGAAGTCTACCAGAGGGGGCTTGATTCCCTAGTGAAAAATAAAAGGAAACGAAGTTTATAAAGAGAGTGGGAACTGATTCATGGAACAGGATGTTCCCTTGGCTAATTTCCATCTAGGGGAAAGGGAGGAACATTACTGAATGCCTGGGCTGTATCAGGCACCAGGTTCATCCTTATCTTGTTTGATCCCCCCATATCCACAGCCATGTAAGGAAGGCCTTCTCTCCATTTTGCAGCTGAGGAAAACAAGGCAGAATGGTTACCTAAGTTTGCATGTTGCTGGGATTTGAACACCAGGTCTGTCTGTATAGCATACATGGAAATTTACTGCCTTTATCACCCCTTCAGTAAAGGGTTTGCTATTCTGATGCCAAGACTGTTGGTTCTAGTTGCCCCAGCAGTTAAGCCACAGTCATGCTTTTCTCAAGTACGGCCACCAGCCAATGGGTGAGCAAGATGGTGGTACACAAACCTAGCCCTTTCTGCCAACATGGGACTCCGCTAACAAACAATTTTGCTCCAGGGTGCCCCATTACAGAGGCATTATCAGTTTTACTTCACAGACTGGGACCTCCTCCCGGCCAAACCTGCTTTCTGTCTTTTCCTTTAAATAGGTCTTATTCCCCTTTTGTACAATTAACTCCATTTTAGCATCTGGTTCCTGGAGAACCCAACTGGAACTCCCAACAATCTGACTCTTAAGCTCCTGCTCATTCTAACACCTTATCCTCACTTGCACTCAACCTTGAGGTAACATTGCTGCAGCCCAGAAAATAACTTCCTATTGGTAGCTTTGTTTCACCCATTTCAGAGGAAAGCTACTAAGGTTTAAGGATTAGAGGAGTTCCCAAACAGTTAGTTACCCTCGACTAAGGTATTCAATCAAATCGGCGACTAACATTCAACCATTCTTTGAACTCTTAAGTCCAAGTAAACAGTTGCCCTCACTTTCTCTATTTCTCCCATATCAATCCCAACCCTTCATTTGCCACAAATTGGGGTTGAGATACAATTTTATTATATGTTGTGCTTAATGAGAATGTTTTATGATTCCTATGTTTCATTTAAAAAACAGGTGAGCACAAGCAAAAAGAAAAAATGTACCTCGTCAAATTATATATATATATGTGTATATATATATACCAAAACAGACAAAGACATTACCCATTATATTTAATTATGAGAAACTTGAACTCTTTCCACTAAAATCAGAAAGTAAGGAGACCCCTCTCACCATTGCTTTTCAACACTATGTAGGGAAGTACTGCTTAATGCAGTAAGAGAAGAAAAGGTATACATTTGGGGAAGGAAGAAATAAAACTGTNCATCCCTGCTGTTTACTAGCTAGATAACTCTAAGAAAGATCTGGCCAAAAAAAAAAAAAGAAACCCTTCTGGAACTAATTAGTAGTTACAGCAAGGTTGCAGGATACAAAGTTCATATGTAAGAGTCAGCCACCTTCCTATACCCCAGGAATGAACAAGTAGAATTTGAAATTAAAAACATGATGTATTTACATTAGCACCACCCAAAAATGAGATAATTAGGTATATAAGCGTTACCAAAAGTGTATGTGTGGGATCTCATTGCTTGCCACTCAAAAGTCAAAAAACAGGCCAGGTTGGTGGAAAGGAAAGTTTACTTTATTTCAGTTGCTGGCAACTGGGGTGGGGAGGGTGGTGGACATCTGTCCAGAGACCAAGCAGGGAATGAGAGCATTTATAGACAGAGTTGGGGGTGGAGGACAGTTATATGCAGAAAAAGCATAGTCATCTCTGACAGTCATCTTCACATCTGTCATCAGTGGTCTGAGCAGCAGCATCTTGATTGTTTTAGGTGCAGTTAACCTTCAGTTGCAGGGCTTTGCATCCAATTCTTGTAAATGTGGCACCTCATGTCCTGGGTACAGCATTGTCATCACGTAGTTAATTTATCCACCTGGTGTTTTGGTGTCTGTAAGACAGCTCACAGGATGGCTCAGAATATTATCTTTAGCCCTTGAGAAAGAGCTACAGATCCTTGGCTGTGCTTAAAGGTTACATCATTATTATTTAGTCTCCTTTGACTGTTTTCCCATTTCTCACTTCTCTAATTAAACTTATTCTTTGACTAAAGTTTTCCGCAGACAAAAGGCAGGCAGAGAGCATGGGGTGGGGGGACAACAGGGTGCTGCTCCATTCCACAAGAGCATACAAGATCTATAAAAGGAAAACCACAAAACTCAGATGAAAAATATGGAAGAAAAATCGAATAAATGGAGAGTTCCATTTACTTAATAAATTCCATTCTCATGAGTAGGAAGACAATACTGTCAGGATATTAGTGCTTTCCAATTGGATCTACTGATTCAGTGCGATCCCAATCATAATCCTAGCAATTATTTTGTGGTGTTGACAAACTAATCACAAAAGCTATATGGAGAGGCAAAAGACCCAGAACAGCCAACACAACACTGAAGGAGAAGAAGGAAATCAAAGGACTAATATTACCTGACTTCAAGACTTCTCAAAGCTACACTAACCAAGACAATGTGGCCCTGACAAAAAAAAGAAAGACAAACAAATCCATGGAACACAATGAAAAGCCCAGAAATACACCCACAAAAATATAGTCAACTAATCTGTCATAAAGTAGAGGCAATACAATGGAGCAAATGAAGTCTTTTCAACAAATGATGCTGAGACAATAAGTATTCATGGGCAAAAATAATAATAATCTAGACATAGACTTTACACCCTTCACAGAAATTAACAAAAATGGATCATAGGAATGTCCCTGGCACTCCAGTGGTTAAGACTCTGCACTTCAAATGCAGGGAGTGTGGGCTCAATCCTTGGTCGGGGAACTAGGATCCCACACACAGAGTTGTGTGGCCAAAAAGAAGAGGATCATAGATCTAAATGTAAAGCAAAAAACTAAGAAACTCCTAGAAGATAACACAGGAGAAAACCTAGATGACCTTGGATATACCAATGACTTTTTAGATACAGCATAAAAGGCACGATCCATGAAAGAAATAATATACAAGTTGAACTTAGTTCAAAATGAAAATATCTGTCCCATGAAAGACAATGTCAAAAAAATAAGAAGATAAGTCACAGCCTAGAAGAAAATGTCTAGAAAAAATATATAAAGAACTGCTATCCAAAAGTACAAAGAACTCTTAAAACTCAACAGGAAAACAAATAACTTGATTACAAAATGGTCCAAAGACCAGAACACACACCCTACAAAGAGGATATACAGCTGAAAAATAAGCATAAGTAAAGATGCTCATGATATATCATCAAGAAAATGCAAATTAAAACAACAAAAAACCAAAACATTAACACCACCGAATGCTGTCAAGGATGCAGGACAACAGCAACTCTCTTTCACTGCTGGTGGAAATTCAAAAAGGTCCTAAAACATTGGAAGACAGTTTGGTGGTCCTCACAAAACTAAACATGCTACTGCCATACAGTTTATCAATTGTGCTCCTTAGGATTTACTCAAAGGAGTTGAAAACTTATGTCCATACAAAAAAAGCTTCATACAGATGTTTATAGTATCTTTATCCATAATTGCCAACACTTAGAAGTAACCAAAATGTCTCTCAGTAGGTGAACGGATAAATAAACTGTAGTGCAGCCAGACAATGAAATCGTTTTCAATGCTAAAAAGAAATGAGTTATCAAACCATGAAAAAACACATGAAGAAACTTTAATGAAGCTGAAACTCCAGTACTTTGGCCACCTGATGTGAAGAGCTGACTCATTGGAAAAGACCCTGATGCTGGGAAAGATTGAAGGTGGAAGGAGAAGGGGACGACAGAGGATGAGATGGTTGGATGGCATCACTGACTCAATGGACATGAGTCTGAGTAAACTCCAGGAGTTGGTGAGGGACAAGGAGGCCTGGCGTGCTGCAGTCCATGGGGTCGCAAGAGTCAGACATGACTGAGCAACTGAATTGAACTGAACTGAACTGATGGAGACAGTAAAAAGATTAGTGGTTGCCAGGGGTGAGAGGTGAGGAGGGATGAATAAAGGATTTTTAGGGTAGCAAAAGTACTCCATATGATAGCATCATTATATGTTTGCATGGAACATACAATGTCAACTGTTAACCCTAATGTAAACTATGGACTCTGGTGATCATGATGTATCAGTATAGGTTCCTCAATTATAACAAATGTACCACTCTGGTGAGGGATGTTAATAATGGGGGCATAGTGCATTTTTGGAGGGGTGGGGAATATATGAGAACTCTGTATCTTCCTCTCAATTTTTCTGTGAACCTAAAACTGCTCTGAATAAAAATGAAGTATTTTTTTTTTAATTTAAAACTTCTGTGCTTCAAGGGACACTATCACTATGAAAATGAAAATACAACCCACAAAATGGAAGAGATATTTGCAAGCAGATAATGGATAAGATACTAGAACTCTAACAGCTCAACAGTAAAAAGACACATAATCCAATTAAAATTGGCATAAGATCTGAATAAATATTTCTCCAACAAAATTATATAAATAGTTGATAAGTATATGAAAGTGTTCAACGTCATTAGTCATTAAGAAAATGCAAACCAAAACCCCAATGGCATACTACTTCACTAGAATGGTTATAATTTAAAAAGAAAGAGAGAGAGAGAAATAAAGGAAGGAAGGAAGGAGGAAGGGAGGAAGAAAAGAAGAAAGGAAGGAAAGAACAGGAAAGAAAGGAAGAAAGGAAGAACAGGAAGGAAGGAAAAACAATCACTGGAGAGGATGTTGAGAAATTGGAACTCTTATGCATTGCTGCTAAGAGTGTAAAATAGTAGAGCCATTTTGGAAAATGTTTGTCAGTTTCTTAGATAGTTAAACATAAAATTACCAGATAACTGAGCAATTAACCTCCTCAGTATATATCCAAGAGAATGGAAAACACACAAAACCTTGGGACTTCCCCAGTGGTCCAGTGATTAAGACTTTGAGCTTCCACTGCAGGGGTTGCAGGTTCCATCCCTGGTTGGGGAACTAAGATCCCATATGTTGCATAGCAAGGCAAAAAAAAAAAAAAAAAACTCACACAAATGTTCACAGCAGCATTGTAGCCAAAAAGAACCCACATGCACATCAATTGAAAAATGAATAAACTAACTGTAGTATATCCATACAATGGAATACTATTTAGCTGTGAAAATGACTGAGGTATTGATATGAGCTACAACATGGATGAACCTTGAAAATGTGCTATGTGAAGAAGTCATAAACAGACTTATATTGTATATCAATTTATATATTCAGGATAAGCAAATTTATAGAGACAGAAAGTAGATTAGTGTTTGCCAGGGGCTGAGGGGGTGGGGGTTGAAAAATGGAGAGTGACTGCTTAACAAGTACAGGGTTTCTTTTTGGGGTGATGAAAATGTTCTGGAATTAGATAGTGGCAATGGCTGCGTAACTCTATACATATACTAAAAACCACTGAAATGTGTACTTTTAAAGAGTAAGCTTTACCATATGTGAATTTTAACTCCAAAAGAACCCTAAAACTGTTTGAGATTAAAAACTGTAAAAACGAAAAACAAAAAGAAAACAGAAAAAAAACTTTTATGAACCTGGAAAAGGTTTTTAGAAATGGCACCAAAAGCACAATCCATTTTTTTAAAAATTGATAAATTGGACTTTATCAAATTAAATTTTTTTATTTATGAGAGATATTGCTGAGAGTAAAATAACAAGTCACATACTTGGAGAAACTCTTTGTAGAACATGTATCTAATAAAGGACTCGTGTCCAGAATATGTAACAAACTCTAAAAACTCGACAATAAGGAAGCAAATAACAAACTTTTTAAATAGATTGAATATTTGAACAGAACTTCAACAAAAACAAAAAAAAATAGGCAGATGGAAAATAAGTACATGAAAAGACATTAACATAATTAACCATTAGGGAAATGCAAATTTAAAAAGCATAAGGGTACCACCATGTATCTATTAGAAAGGCTAAAATGTAAAAATGGCCATACAAGTGTTGACAAGGATGCATAATAGCTGAAACTTTCATGGTTCAACCATTTTAGAAGTCTGCCTGTCAGGTTTTTGTTTTTTTTAATTAAATATATTCCTACCATACTTCAAGATATTTCCCCAAGAGAAGACAGAATAAGTCCATAAAAGACTTGTTTAAAAATGTTCATAGTGACTTTATTTGTAATAGCCCCAAATCAGAAACAACCCATATGCTTATCATTAGTAGAATGTAGAAATAAATGGTGTCTCTTCATACAATGGAGTACTACTTGGCAGTGAAAAAGCATGAGATATTGATACACAAAACAGTATGGATGAATCTCAAAAACTGAGTGCACCAAAAAGTTCATTTGGGTTTTTCCATAACATCTTAGCCAACCCAATACTTATATTCAGTGAAAGAAGTCAGACAAAAAAGGATACACACTGTATGACTCTATCTACATAAAATTTTAGAAATTGATCTATAATATCAGACTGACCTATAATAACAGAAAGCAGATTAGTGGCTGCCAGAAGCAAGAAGAGAAAGAAGCAAGAGAGGGTGGAAAAGAGAGAACATGAAGGGCACAAGGAAACTTCCAGTGACGGATGTGTCCACTATCTCGACTGTCGTGATGGTTTCAAAGGTATGTTAAAGCTTATAAAGGTGTGGGAGAGATAAACTAGGAGGTTGGAATTAGCATGAATTAACATATATACACTCCCATATATAAAACATATAACCAATAAGGACCTACTGTATAGCACACTCAAAATTTTATATTAATAGGAACATATAAGGGGAAAGAATCTGGAAAAATAGATATATGCATATGTAAAACTGAATCACTTTGTTGTACATCTGGAACTTACACAACATTGTAAATCAACTATACTTCAAGAAAATAATTATTAGTCTTTTAAAAAATGTATAAATTGTAAACTTTAAGTATGTGCAGTTTATCATAAGTTGATTATAACTCAGTAAAGCTAGAGAAAGAAACAGCATTCATGAATGAATATATAACTTATTGTACAATATCCTACAAGTGGGAAAAGTCCCATTTAGATTCTGCCCCCAAGACTTTAAGTGCCTTAGGATGGAGTGACCCCAGAAAGCCCAGAAAGCTGACCCTTTCTCAGACCCTTTATACAAAATGTTCCCTTAGAACACCCTTCCCTCACCATGAACATCAACACATTTTTCAAGCCCAGCTAAAATCTCATCTACTCCTTGAAGCTTTCCTTGTCTTCTCCAGTCTGCACTCTCCTAGCACCTGAGAATCCAATAATATATCCCCTTGGTCTAGGATGTAAGATTCGTGGTTTCAACTCTTCCCCCCAAATCTTAAATGTCCACCACTTGCACTGATTGGTCATTTTACTGAGACACAAATTTAATTCCAGCCAGTTGTGATGTCCCTACAGAGGAAGAGATAATGGCTGAGCCAAACCCCCACCCACCTCCAGGCCTTCACAGCCCAACCCAGCTTGGCTGGCCACTGCTTTTTATAAAAGCTTATTTTCCCTTTATGTAGAATGGACTGCCTGAAAAAAAAAAAAAGCTATTAGCTTCTGATGGAAATGATGACTGAGTGAAGCAGTCCAAGAAAGGCATGGTTCTTAGCCAGAAAATGGCTTTATAAATTACTTTAATCTTTTATTAAGAATCTGGAAGCATCACTTAAAATTCTTAGTTGTACTTTACAGCATTTTATGGGAAGAAGTTACACACGACAGTGGCATTAACAGGATTGGAAATTTGAAAAGGCTTTGGGCCTTGTCCCTCAATGATGTCAAAAGCTCCCAGTAGCTCTGCTGAGTACTCATCACACTGCATTACAATTATGAGTTTAGCTACCTCCCCTCTAGTCTGAGAAGTACAGTAGTCTGGAGTTTAGAACTGAATTGTCTGGGCTCAAACCTCAGTTCACCTCATAGCTGGGTGACCTTGAACAGTTTACTTAAACTCTGTGTGCCTCGATTTCTTCATCTCTAATTGGCAAGTAAAATAGTACCTGCCTAATAGAGTTGATTTAAATGATTCAGCATTATATAAAACACACAATATATAAAAAACACTTAAGTCAGTATCTGACCCATCAAAAAGTGTTCAATAAATGTGAATAATTAATTTGAGGGTTTTCTCTGGAGCAGTTTATTAGGGACTTTTTAAAATTTTTCTAGGTCTCCAGTGTGCACTCAGCAAGAGTTAAAAGAATGAGTGGATGACTCAGCAAGCAGGTGAGTTATGGTTCTGCCACTTTGTTCCTGAAGCCAAAATTCTTTCTGGTATAATGGAGGTGTTTGGTTGGCTTATCCAGTATCCAGCTTGTGATGGATGTATCCAGTATCCAGCACTAATTTGGTCAGTATCTCCACCACAGTCATGTTCTCTACTGTTATCAGTTTGTAACCATGAGGATCCTGGTGCTATGACTGGGAAGGGGCAGGAGGAACAGAAAGGATGGTAGAGGACCCTAGCGGGCCTGTGTTCCCCATTTGACATGGGGAAGGTAGGAAATGGTAGGAAGATGAGACCAGGAATCAAACGGTCTTCAGTGAGAACAGTGATGTCTTGGGATTCACCTAGCACCCTTGCCCCTCTAGAGTTTATTCTCAACCCAGCACCCCGAGTGACCCTATTAAAACCTAAATTAAATCATGTCACACTCCTGCACAAAACCCTCCAATGGCTCCCCAGCTTATTTGGAACAAAACCCAAAACTCCCACAATGGCCTACAAGGCCATACATACTCCAATCTGCGCTCTCTCTCCCATCTAATCTCCTACCTTGCTCCTCTCTGCAAACTCCACTCCAGGCTTCTTGCTGGATACTGGCTTTCTGGCAGTCCTTCAAGCACATCCAAAGGACCGCTGTTTGTGGTCTTTGCACTCTCTGTTCCCTCTGCTTGGTATGCTTTTCCTCAGAAATTCATGGTTCACTCTTACTTTATATAGGCCTCAGCTCGAATGCCACCTCTTAAGAGAGATCTTCTCTCTCCACCTATCTAAAACTCATGCGGGACTTCCCTGGTGGTCCAGTGGTTAGGATTCTACGCTTCCACTGCAGAGGGTACAGGTTTGAGCCCTGGACAGGGATCTAGGATCCTCATGCTGCATGGCACAAACACAAATGAGTAAAAGTCATGAAATCAGAGACTTCATCTGTTTGCAGCATTGCTCCATCCCCAACACCTTGTTCAGTGCCTATCACACAGTACTCAATAAATACTTACTATTGGGTGAAGAAAACCCCAGGAATCCACCTGCTTTCTGCTTCAGTTTCCCTCCCAGAGCTTGATCCTCCCCACATAGAAGTCTCTCCCCAGGAGACTTCTATGCACCCCTCCTGCAGAATAAGGTGCATTAAAGTGTACTACTGGTAGAAAAGGGAGATGTCGGTTGGTGAAGAGACTTAGTGGTCCCTGACTGGACAAGGTGATTTGTCTTTGCTAGCATTTTCCAGAGAAGGTATAAAGTATAAGGTGTTAAAGAGACAGAAGTACTGATTACTGTGATCCATTAACAACTATAGAAATGGAGGGGGACAGAGACAGAAAGGAGAAAGAGAAGGAAAAACGTGAATCATTGGTGATGTTCTTCCTGGGGTGGGACTCAAGAATATACATTTTAATAATTCCCCTGAGCGGTTCATAAGTAACCAGCTTAAGACAGGTCCTTAGAAGGCATTTGGAGATTTAGTGAAGTTCAAGGCCATACATTTACAGTGGGAAAGCCATGGGCTCTCACAGCCAAGCAGACCTGGGTTCAAGTCCTGCCATCACTGCTTAGCATGTGTAACCTTCTGCTATCATTTAACCTCTCAGATCCTGAAGTTACAAGTCTAGTTAGAGTTGACAATTACATCTATCCTAACTGCACTGTTGTGATGATTAAATCACAACACATGTAATATGCTTGGAACATACGTAATATGCTTACCCCTCTATTCCACGACCTCACAGAGGTGAAAACATATCGTCAAAAGGGCCAGTTCTTCTGCATATAGTAAAATCTTCAGCCCATACCTTCCCCAGAATTCCTCTTCCCTTCTCTAGAATAGATTAAGGAGCATATTTTCACTCTTAACTACCCACTGCATGCATGCTAAATCACGTCAGTCATGTCCGACTCTTTGTGACCCTATGGACTATAGCCCATCAGGCTCCTCTGTCCATGGGATTCTCCAGGCAAGAATACTGAAGTGGGTTGCCATGCCCTCCTCCAGGGAATCTTCCCAACCTAGGGATCTAACTGCTCATCTCTTTTGTCTCCTGCATTGACCAGTGAGCTGTTTACCACTAGCACCACCTGTTAACTAACCATGAATAATAAATCTTTGTATTTTAAGTCTCTACCAAGACTGCCACATATATTTTAGGACAAAAGCTCAAGAAGGAGGTGGAACAGACCCCATGATCACTCACTTGTAGATTTCTGGCAAGTGGGCTGAGTACATGGCTAGAATGTGGGTGTGCTGCAACTTCGAACTCCCCAATGCTGTGCACTCTCCATTAGGTTACATTCACCATCATCAAGACCTTTTGCTTTTGAGGGCAAAGAGGAAAAAGAGATAGGACGTTTGTATCTCCTGTTGCTTCCTGCTCCTAACCTCTGGACTACTGGTTGGAGAGTGAGAGGGCAGCCAAAGATGCTCTCTCAAGCTTGGCTGCACAGACTGCAAGGACAACCTGGAAAAGCCTCTCCCAGTCCAAGCCTCTCCAGCTCAAGGCTGGCAGCCTTCTGCAGCTCCACACCCCCACCTGCTGGACACTGCCTTGCACAGATCCTGACCATCCACAGGATACCGTTCTTTGGGAATCCTGTACGCCAGCCCCTCCACCCAGGTCTACCTTGAGGGCCACAGAACAGGCTGGAATGAGGGGAAGTACCCCTATTTCTTTCCCACCTAGTATTAGTTGCTCAGTCATACCCAACTCTTTGCGACTCCATGAACTGTAGCCTGCCAGACTCCTCTCTCCATGGAATTCTCCAGACAAGAGTACTGGGGTGGGTTTGCCATTCCCTTCTCCAGGATATCTTCCCAACCCAGGAATCAAACCCTGGTCTGCCACATTGCAGGTAGATTCCTTACCAGCTGAGCCACCAGGGAAGCATCTCTTTCCCAGTCTTACTGTAAATCTTCATCTAGGATACTCTTTATTCTCTCTAAACTTCAGTTTCTCCCAAGTTGTAATCAGAGGAGGATTCAGCCTGACTTCCCGCCCTCCCAGGGTGAAATGGAATAGCGTAAGACACCCACTCTGCCAGATGGAAAGAACTGGGACTTTGGAGAGGAAACTGCTATAAATCTGAGAACTCCGAGGATAAAAGCAGCAGCATTCCCAGTAAACAAATGAAGGAACTAAGTCCCAGAAAATCAAAGTAAGCAGCTGCAGGGAACAGACTTTATTCATTCATTTATTTGGTTACTCACTCAGATATATTAGTTGAGCCCCTACAATGTACCTGGTACTGTGAAACAGGGATGAAAACCCAGTCACTGTACTTTAAGTCTCTTTGCTGAGCCACTCATCACCTTCTTCTTTTCCTCCTCCCTGTCTCTGTTTTCTTTCTGAATATTTTAACCTGTGTTCTCGGTAACCCTCATTCTGCTGAAAACAAATTCCACATCCATAACACCCTCCAAGAACTTTCACTATATCCTCCCCCTCATTGTAACTAAAACCTGGCCTTTCCCCAAGGACATTAGTTCCCTTGCAGCCCTCTTGAGTGGAGGCAGGTCCCCCGCCCCTGCATGAGTTCCATTTTCCAGCCAAGAAGGGTGCACTTGGGGTCAGCAGTCTTCCAGCTGCCATCGCCTTGCCGGCAGTTTCACACTGACTTTTCTACCCTCATTTAAAGCCTTCATCAGACTGAATGGCTCATTGCCCCCTACTTCTTCCCTTGCTGTCACTGACCCTGGCCCATGCCCGCTGAGGGCTCTGTCTACTTACCCCTACACATCAGCTTCCACCAAGGTCCTGAGACAAATCGCTCACACCCATGCACTCGACACGCTAACCTCCCCCTAACTTTATCCTAATCACTTCAGACACCTTTCTGCGCTGCTCTCAGCCATGCGTTTCAAGGCCACAATTGGACCATTACTAGCATGCTCCATCTCTCAAAATTTAAACTTCAGTGTCCCATTTGGACCACAACCCCTCCAACTTTATTCTGTTCCTCCCACTTTGCAACTCCCTGACCTCACTGAGTTCTAGCACTTTAACCCCTTTATTGCCTCACAGTTTATCTTCCCTCCTCCATCAAGCCCAGGGCTCAGTACTTGGAAAACCAAGCTAGGTCTCTGGTCAATAAGCTGAGTGATTTCTCGTCAGCTTCTTAAGCCCCCTTACTCCCTTTTCCTTCTACTCCCAAGGCCTGACCCTGAGTCAATCCCACAGCTGCCTGTTCTGCCCTTAAGCCTGGACTTCTGGGTCCTGGTGAGGAAAATTGTCTACTCTGGCACACATTGGTCTTCTGGAAGGTTCTTCAAGGACCATTACAAATCTGTCTCACTCTCCCCAAGGCCTCAGCAGATAGTCTCTCTTCCTATTTCACTGAAAAATTAGAGCCAAAAATTTCCTCAGGTTCGCACCCTCCTCTCATAAATGAATTCTGATTACCTGCCACATAGCCTTCCTTAGGGTCTCCAGGTCAGAGGTGGCCCCTCTCCCTGTTCAGAGTCAGCCTTTCTGGCTGGGCCTAAATTCTCTTCTGTCCCCCACCCCACCACACCTCTGAAGTTTCTATTCCCTTCTTTTATCAGCATCTCAGTCAGAGTCGAGGAGACTTGTGGTTCAGTTGCTCAGTCGTGTCCGGCTCTTTGCGACCCCATGGACTGCCGCTCACCAGGCTTCCCTGTCCGTCACCATCTCCCAGAGTCTGCTCAAACTCACATCCATTGAGTCGGTGATGCCATCCAACCATCTCGTCCTCTGTCACCCTCTTCTCCTCCTGCCCTCAATCTTTCCCAGCATCAGGGTCTTTTCCAATGAGTTGGCTCTTCGCATCAGGTGGCCAATGTGTTGGATCTTCAGCTTTATCATCAATCCTTCCAATGAATATTCAGGGTTAATTTCCTTTAGGATTGACTGGTTTGATCTCCTTGCTGTCCAAAGGACTCTCAAGAGTCTTCTTCAACACCACAGTTTGAAAGCATCAATTCTTCAGCGCTCAGCCATCTTCATGGTCCAACTCTCACATCTATACATGACTACAGGAGACAGAATACAAACCCTAATTTAAACAGAGGGATTTTAACTTAAAGAATTACTAGCTATAACAAGGGTTTATCTTCTAAAGAGAAAGAAAGAACTCAAAAAGATACATAAATACCCAATATAGGGAGCAGCCTCTACCTCTAGGACTGAGACAGAAAATCCGAAGAGGCTCTGCCCTCTCAGCTGATATCTAACCTATGTTGGAAAGGGTGAGGCCTTGACCCACTGGACGGCAGAGATGTTGTGCCAACAGAACTCACCAAGAAGCCACACTCTGGGGTACCTAAGAAAGCCATCAACATAGAAGGTCTGTGCTGTAGCGCTTGCAAGGCCACCCACCACACACTGCCCAGGAAGTCATCTACAATGCAAAAGGACATCCCTAGGAAGGTGCTGCCCTGCAAAGCTTGCTAGGAAAATACCTGTAAGGATGGTGTACTAGAAAGCCACACTCTGGTATGCTGAGGAAGCTGCCCACGGGGAGGAACCATGTACTACTGGCTACCCTATGTATGTGGCTGGAGACCACTCTCGTAGCCGGTCACCTTATGCTGCTGTGCTCTGCCCCAAGAGCCTGCAAAGAGGTCACAGGAAGCAGGTAGAGAAGCCCTTTCCTCCAGGTATGCCCTCCATGCCCTGCACTGACATATCTTAACCTTATGCCAGCTGACAAAGGAGAAAGGCTTACATTCATGATAAGGTCCAGCTCCATTTCTACAGAGCAGGCAATGAAGAGTGTATTTGGAGCAGAGAAGCAATAGTTTGGTAAGTGACATATTAATAACTGGTATCTTCCACTTCCCTTGCTTTACCATCTTCTATCACTCAACCTATGAATATGTGCAAGTATTACCAACTAAACATACACACGCACATCTCCAATCACTGTGCTCCCCACTAGTTATGACAATCTTTCTCCTTTCCTTCTAAGCAAAGCTTCTAGAAAATATAGTCCGCACTCATTGTTTTCTCTCTTTCGTATTCCTTTCACTCATTTTTCTACTACATGCGTGCATGCTGAATTGCTTCAGTCGTGTCCGACTCTTTGCAACCCTGTGGAACATAGCCAACCAGGCTCTGTCCATGGGATTCTCCAGGCAAGAATACTGACCTGGCTCTAACTACCACTATCCACAGAAATTGCTATAGCCAGACTCATGGATGAAACTGAGAGGATATTGTTTTTTCTTATCCTTTCTAATTTAACATTTAAGCACTTTACACTGGTTACAATTCCCTCTTTCCTTCCATTCTGAGACATTCTTTATGGTAGATTATATTATTGGCTCAAAATTTTCCCCGCTTCCAACTTTGCCATGGTTCACTGTGGGTAGAGTACACTTCCCTGCTCCGCTTTACTTTGGGCTTAGCCGGGGCCTTGCACTGGCCAATGACATGTGAATTGAACTGACAATTGGTCAGTTCCCAAGAGAGACTCTTCTATTTGCCCTCTTGCACTCCAGCCCTCAACCATACAAAGAAAATGCCCAAGGTAGCCTTTTCTCCATCAACTTGAGCCCAGAATGAGAAACACATGGAATAGACATTAACACAATTCACAGCCTGGATCTGAGATGCCAGAGCCAATTTACAAAGCCATAAACATGAAATAAATGTATGTTGCTGTAAGTCACTGAGATTGTAGAATTTGGCAATATAGCAAATTAATCTCTATCTAGATAAATTAAGATAAAAAGAAGCACAAATTGCTAATTTCAAGAATAATAGAGGAAACCACTGAAAATTTTATAGATACTAAAATGATATGAAATATCTTTAACCTCAATAAATCTGAAAAGGGGGGATATGAAGTATGCAAACTATTTGAGAGACAAATTACTGAAGGTGACACAAAAGAAATAGAAAATCTAAATAGTCCTTTATCTATTAAATAAATTGAATTTTTAGTTTAAAAACTTTCCATAAAGAAAGCACCAGGTCAAACAGCTTCACAGAAGGAAGAAATTATACCAGTCATACTCATTGTAATAGAATTCCTAGGATAGCAATAGAAGGTTGGTGTGGGGGAAGAGAAAGAACACATACAGTCTGCAAAGGAGAAAGTAATATTTTCTCTATTCACAGATGACATGATTGTGTATATAGATATTCTTAAGGAATCTACACTTCAAAATGTGAAAACTAATAAGTGAATTGAGCAAGATTACATGACACAAGGTCAAATATAAGAAATCAATTGTTTTTCTCTAGACTATAAAAAAATTGAAAAAAATTTTCTAATTTTAATGCCATTTAAATTAGCATCAAGACTTCTAATTCTGATCAAGATGGAGTAACAAAGACAACATTTATTCTCCTACCTGAAATAACTAAAACATTAGACAAAATATATGTAACAACAGTTTTCAGACACTAGGGATCAGACAGCACAGGCAGTGGTCCATAAGAGAGAGAAAAAAAAAAAAAATGAGCCCTATGATGTCCTCAGTGACAGGAATGGGTCTCCAAGTTTGAGCGCTAGAAGGGGAAACCCAGACGTAGCTCAAAAGTCTCCCTCAGTTTAGGAGATCATGCTAGGAATCCAAGAAGATCAATGCAGCTAGAATTCACAAGGGAAAGCATCAGAGATGAGGGAGCTGCATTGAAAGAGACCCCCAGAGATCCATAAAGGGTCTCCCTCAAGTCTTTGGCCTAGTGCTGATCAGTACGTTCATATGAGAAAACCACTCAAAGCTGAAGGAAAAGAAAACACCTGAAAGGAGTGAGGGTGGGGGCAATCCTCAGGATTCATCTCCCAAAAAGAATGGAAAACTTCCTAATTTACAGGTCATCAGGTAGAATATTCACAAGGGTATTGCTTCAGTTGTGGGCAGTATTAGCTGTGGATTAAAAACAGTTCTGGTCATGCCTAACAAAGCAAGCCTAAAAAGGACCAAATAATTTCCAAAAAACTACATCACAGAATAAAGCTCAATTATAGTTGTAGAAATACAAAAACATCCAGTACCCAACAAGGTAAAATACACAATGTCTGGAATCCAATAAAAAATTATAAGACACAAATAAGCAGGAAAATTCAATCCATAATAAAGAGAAAAAATAATCAGTGAAAACTGACATAGATGATAGAATTAGTAGACAAAGACATTACAGTTGGTAAAACTATATTCCATATGTTAAGCAAGGTAAAGGAAAGATCAAGCATATTAAGTGAAAACATGAAAGATATAAAAGACTCAAATAGAACTTCCAAAGATAAAAATGAAAATCATTTAGATGAATAACATCACATTAGACACTGGAAAATTAAAGATTAGTGAACTTCAAGAGAGAGCAACAGAAAATTTACAAAATAAACACAAAAAGAAAATAGATTTTAAAAAACCACCAGAGTATTAGTGAGACAACTTCAAATAACCTATTATATATGCAGTTGGACCCCAAAGGAAAAAAGACAAGAGAAGTCAGAAAAAAAATTGAAGAAATAATAACCAAAATCTTTCAAAAATTTATGGAAATAAGAACACAGACTCAAAAATCTCAGTGAACCTCAAGCACAAGAAACATGAATCTAAAACACTTCATAAAATTTCATCAAAGCATAAAGTGAGAAGGGATAAATTTAACAAAATATATGTAAAATTCATACACGGAAAACTAGAAAACACTATTGAGAGAAATTAATACCTAAAGAAATGGACTGAAAGGTATAATATCACTGTCAACTCTCTCCAAAATGATAGATTCAATATAATTCAAATAAAAATTCCAGGAGGCTCTATTTTGTAGAAACTAATAAGTGATTTTAAATTTTATGTGAAGGTTCAAAGGATCTAAAGTAGCCAAACCATTACTTAAGAAGAAGTTGGAAGACTTAAATAACTTGGCTTGAAGATTTATTATAAGTATAAAAATCAATATAATATGATATTGGCATTAAAATAGACAAATACACAAATGAAATAGACCAGAAATAGACCCAAAG